TGAAACCCGAAGTCAAATAAAGAGCTTATGATGACTATCATAAAGCCTGTCATTTGATATAAATATTCGAAATTTTGAATTGTATGTCGATAGCTTAGAATGGACTTGAGATAATACATTTGTTTAATGTAGTTTAAAATGCCAATTTAACCAACTATCAAAAATTGCCCATGTGTAAACTGAAATGTATGGTACGCTTCACCTGAAAAGTGCACCAACGTCTAGAAAAGTACACTTAGCCCGCTCCCATTTATTTAGACGCCAAGCCAAAAAAAAACACTAAGTGGGCTGCATAAAATGTATGTAATTATAGCCAATACTGGTTAAAAAGCTCAGTTAATTGGTCTAAGGGAGCTGTATCTATGTTCAGTTCTCTCATACTGACCCAATAGCCAATAAAATAACCTAATTTGCATACTTCTAATTAGATTCCCAAACATTGAGAGCTTTCATTACGTGTAATCAAAAAAATTGTTAAATCTTTTATTAGTTTACCCTTTCCCGAAGAGGTGAACAAAATCCCTCTAGAAAAGAATTTTATCGCATTCAACACATTAATTCGTTTAGCTTAATCCCTATAGCTTCCTTACTCTATTTTCGTGCTAAGAGGCTTACGAATAAACAAAGCATGACAGTGTAAGCAGGTTTTGTAGTATGTGTAAAGCAATTTTCGATCAAGACATTTAGTTTATTAACTGAGAAATCACAATATCACGACTTATGTCAAGTGTAGAGCATTTAGTCCGAATGTTGTTTTTGCACAAATCACAATATTTACGAATGATAACTGAAAGAAATGGAATTTTACTTTTACATTGTCGATATTTCATTCACTTGGAAACTTTGTTCTTTTAAAATCCACGTACGTGAATAATGAACGATCATATCACGGATTCTGAAATCGTGGAATGTTCGTGGTATAAAATTGAGCTTTGTTCCTCTTAACGCCAACTTGGGGCAGATTGGGTAAGTTTGAAAGAGAAATAGGAATGCTCTTTATTCCACCGAGCTTATGTTATATGGATTGTTGCTCCTAAAAGGTAATAGGTTTTCATGAAAACATCCTCAATTTCATTAATCACCGAGTGGGTTTATCGACAAGCTACATCATGAGTAACCATGCCGTTAACTGGGTTTTTGTCAAAGATCCAAAAGGTCCGCGAAATAAAACTGGATGGATCTATTTATGTTTTCCATGCATGTTAAATTACAACAAATTTAGTGCAACAAAGGCAAAGCTTGTTATATTCATGCAAAATCCAGCTAAACAGGAAGAAGAGCAATCGATAAATGTGCCGAGAACAAATTCGATGACTCATCGATTAAGAGCCAGTGATGATGGAAAAGATGACGATAAAATCGATTGATAATATGAAAGCATTCATTAATAGAAAATAGGATTAAACCAATGACGAGCCATACAAGAAAATATTAATTAAAATCACAACATTATAGTAAGCAAATGATTCATCTAACATCTATGGTTCACTGCATTACGTAATTTTGCGCTTTACAAATTGAATAGGTTAAAATAAAGTTTGAAGTTATTATGCGAACAGGCATAAAAACTAGTCCTCACATATGGACCCGTGAACATAGTTGAATGGTATTCGCAAGAATTTTTTATTTATATCAATTGGCAGGCTTTATGATAGTTACCATTAGCATTTTGTTGACTTCAGACTTCTCATAGGGTAGGAACAGGCAAAAGTCACAAAAGTTGAGAGGGGGGACAGAAGAGTTATTCACAGATGTAAAAGAGACAGACAGACACAAAGATGGTGAAAAGGGAGAGGTGAGTACTGTGAAAGTGGTCGAATGTGGCATACAGTGGGGTCATGGTTGTTTGAAGTCAGAAGTCAATTGCCGATAAATAGACTTTTTTGCCGTATAAGTATACGTTGCCCAGGGTGCACCACGTGGAGGTAAGTCCATTGTGCACCCAGGGATAGAGAAGTAAATTACCACATTGCACATTTATATTTTTTTAAGTAAAATCTCACATCAATGATTTGGTTCCAGAATTCAATGAAATGGGAAATTTCGGTCATGAAATTAAAATGCCTACAGTGCTCTTGTAATGGTTAAGACTTTTCACTAGAAACTCCATTGTTTGAGGTTTCGAGAGAGACCGTTTGGTTGAATTTTGATTTTTAAGCCGAATAAGTGAAAATTGAAGCAAATTTTTGCATTTTCTTATCTCATATTTTGCAATTCGTTCCAAATTTGTTAGTTTCCAAAAGTAGGTGCGTATTTTACTTTGCCGTGAACTCTAAACTAGGATTTTACACCAAATGACAGGTAAACGTTAACACTTTGCATAAAATCAGTAACAATAAAGAGGGAATAATAAATTTTACTCCCCTCTCGTAAAATATTTCACCCTGAGGTCAAATGCGCATTACTCCAACCAAGACTTAACAGCTAATTGTCATTCCCCTTCTATCACATAGGCACGTGATATATTAAATTTCTTATTGAAATGCCAAAATATTACGGGTACCTACAGGAAATCGAACAGGATGAAAATGTGAGCTTATTGAGCTTTTTTGCCAGTTACTTTATTGCTCAAAAATAATGTTGAACAGTGTGTCTGCTAAGAAAAACTTGCATGATTGGCTGTTTCACCGCCTCTGGACACAAACTGAACTCAAACATCTGTTCTTCGAAAATGCATCTTCTTATTAGAACTCATAATGTTTGAAGTATGCATGTGTATGAATCCACCATGTTTTCTATGTGGTATATATATAAATATATAATCACTTTAATTATTTTTAGCCATCGTGTGACTTCGGTGGAACATCTCCACAATTCTCCAGCAAAGGTGTGTGCATTTTTCCTTCTAAATAATTTTCTGCAGTCCTGCAATGCCATTTAAGTTCTCGTTTATGCGCTAATGACAGCAATTTATATCAAATGGCCCTGATTTATCCATCAGTTTAGAGATTTTGTTGATTTTAGGCGGATCAGAGACTTCAGGAGTTGTGGTTAATAACTCAAATTCCACTACAACTATTGGGAGTGTGGCTTCTATGCAGGCATCAATCGGCCAAGTTGGAAATAATTCTCTCACATCTCTACAACAATCTCACACAAATCACCCTATCAGCTCCTCGCTACCTGCTTGTGGATCTGATGAAATCGAACATGATTCAGTGCAGACTCACGACCATTCTGCCCTCGCAGTCACCCTTTCTTATAACGTTCAGGAAGATAGTGAAGGTGGAACTCTGGTTAATACTCTCGATTCTCAGATGCTTGCTAACCGATGTGTCACATGTCTTCCTGTTGCTGCTTGTCTTCGTCGTGGAACAACCCCCAAATCAGCTGATTTGTGTTTCTCAACGGGTTCAGTACAAACCCCTCAGAGTCAGTCCTCGGGTCCAACAACTCCGAAAAAGAGACATCATCATCACCATAGGAAGCATAGACTTCAGCCAATACCTCGGTCAGGAGCAACGAGTGCTCAAGAAGTCGCAGCAAGATACAACTTGAGTCTAGCTGAGTCATCTTCGGGATCATCCAGTGAATCTGAATTTGAGTCAGATGTATGTTTAACCAGTGCAGAGACAAGTTCATCTAGTAATTCGTCACGCCGCGGTGACGATGAAGTGGACACTCAAGAACAACAACATGGTTTTAGGAGGCTCCTGGGTTCTTCAACTTCAAGTGCAGGAGCGAGTGTATCTCTACGACCAATTCTGTCAGGATTCAATCAACACCATTATCGATTACACCAGAACTGGCGGGAGGAGGCCGCTATACCACCTGATAATCGACGAAACTCTCCCGCCAGACAATTTCTTGGAACTCCAGATGGGAAATCGATGACGGCGGCGAGTCATGGATGGCTGGCATCAGCTAAACGCCTCACTAGCGCTCTATCAGAATCTCTTACACGAAGGGCTCTATCTTCAAACTCTTCTACATCTTGCAAACCATCTCCAGCTTCTACCC